GTGTAACATAATGTAATGTTCATTATCCAGTGCAAACAATGAATATAGGTTAACACACAGAGCACAGAGTTCCACCTGGTAGCAACTTTGTGTAAACATAATGTAATGTTCATTATCCAGATCAAACAATGAATATAGATTAAACACAGAGCACAGAGTTCCACCTGGTGGCAACTTTGTGCAAACACAATGTAATGCTTATTACCGATAAAACCGTTCCGGATTTAAAGTTCTGAACGTAATATTATGGTTGTAATAGATTTGAGTCTAAAGCTCAAACTTAGAAGTGTTGTTTTTACTAGTAGTCTTAATCTATCTGGCGATTTATGAATGATACAGACATATTCAACGTGTAAACTAAACACCGATAGTTTGGTCCTCTATAAACTTTAACGTCGTCCCTTGCTGTATATATTATTAAGTAAAGCAGCGATAAAGCGTCTGCAGGAAAACTATCGCAGGGGGCAACAAAAAAAAAAGGGTAATTGCCCAAGGCTATGAAACTTCAGACCTGTCACTTAGCATTTCCCACTTCAGTAAATAAAATATATATATACACACACACACGAGCAGATAGGATTAAATGTATGTTTCGGATATTTATATTCTATTTTTTTTTTCTCAACAACTTTAATTTGTAAGTTGGGACGTTTAATAGATACTGGATGTCGCTGTAATGTTAATATTGTATTTCTGTCATAATAGTGCGTCGTAAAATTAGCCTACTAACGAAATTTTCCTTTTCCCATCCCGGGTTTTTAGATATACCGCGTGTAAAGTTGCCTGCGTCATGGGTTCATGAGCGCGTCTCTTGATAAGTTTTTACGGTGTGTGTGTCTATTCCATCAGTTCGCATATTTGTTTGCCAAAAACAACAACAAAAAGAAAACCCAATTACAGTTATGTTCAGATAGGAGGCGATAGTTTAATGAATGTACATATTCCATTATTGTAGACTAGTTTTTTCGAACCTCTTCAAAATGATAATTGGTCCGTTTCAACGCTGTAACTGAACTCTTATTTCCGTGTTATTGTTTTATTTTTTTTTGCTTTGAAACAATTGCATTTTGATACGTAGGATGTTTCAGTGTTCTATGCAGTGTTTTACCTTACCGAAATCTAATGACAAAAGTTTACGTTTGTAATTTCACGAGTTTGAGAGGTAGTTTACGTGTTTTAATCGGGTGGGATAAAGGTAATGAGCACTGAGAACATCTCTTACTGTCACAGACGTCTGAAGCACACACCAGATCGTAATTAGCAGTATAGTGTTTCCATAGAAACTGGGCGGGAGTCAGGAATGGCGCGCGCAATAGGCGGGTAAATTTCGGAAGGGGAGATTTGTGCGTTTGATAATGGCCACTGTTGTACGTTCTGAAGGGTGTATCATGACAAACAATCTTTCTTACACTGCGTCCGTGGGCGCGTGCGTGCGCGTTGACCTGTAACGCTCGTGTGCACGCTTAGGTCATTCCCGAGCTGCTTAAGCTTCTGTGTTCATAACGTTCCACTGATTTTAAAATGGTCTTGCATGCGTACGAACGACCAAAGATAAGAAGGGTATATCGTACAATGGGAATCCGCGTTAGCGTTGAGGAGATTAATATCGGAAACTTAATAATATATATATGAAATAAAAAAAAATATATTGCTAATCGAGATTAAACCCTCAGTAAATTATTGTTTTTCATGGCCCATCTCTCCACAGATCAGCGGGGATCGTCGCGTGGGGCACAATTCGGAAACAATACAAACAAAGCTAGTGCAGAGGGGATTTGTCCTCCAGGCACTGACTACAAGGCACCCCCTGGTGGAGGTCAGCGGCAGCTCGAAGCCCTCGGTTTCAGTTCACTTTCTGCCACTTCTCGAACAAACGACATGCCCACAGACACGTTGCCTGCTTCTGCATTTTCTGTAGAGACCATCCCGCTTCCCTTAAAGCCAGAGCGACTCTCCCCGGAGTTTGAGTCTTCTTCGCCGTCCGTTTCACCGCATTCGCCGAATCCTGCCCGAGCCTTCCCTTCAGCCGTTGGCCTCGGATTCGGTGGGCTCCGCACACCGGTTCCTCCGTCCTCCACGGGTCTGGCTTGTGGAGCATCAGCATTGAAACAAATGGAAATGATGACTAGAAACTACAGCGAGTTCATGCGAAGTCTCGCGGCGAAGTACAACAACCAAAACAGCCAGGAAAGGTAAGATTTATCTCGAACTACTAACAACTTATTTTGCTACAAGATTGTGTGTTATTCTTGAGCCATGTAAAACATGTTTAATTATTAACTACCATATAAGATTCAATATTTGATATTCATCTTTTTTTTTGTTTGTTTGTTAAGTAAGTAGAACCTGTAATAAGTGCTGTTGGACAGTATATATTTTTTTTTCGATGGTTATACTAGTATTGTAATGAACCTGGAATTTATACCTTACTGTAAACGTAATCCATTTTAAATTTTCTTACCAGGAAGTCTCTATTAAAATATAATAGTAGGTTTAGGAATCCGTGTGACATCGTTCTGTATAGTTACTGCTGGGAAATTTCGTAGTGTTTGAAAATATTACACAAAGACCATGTCGTTTTTTAAAAAACAAATATTTTATGCGAGTTCTCTACTCTCGGTAAACCACAGTATAACGAGAGTACACGTGAGTATATATATATACGCACACACATGCATTTATTTAAATTAACGTAAATAAAGGGTTTCCAAATAGGTGGCCCGGCATGGTGATTAGGGTGCTTGACTCGTAGTCTGAGGGTCGCGGGTTCGAATCCCCGTCCCACCAAACATACTCGCCCTTTCAGCGTTGTAATGTGACGGTCAACCCCACTATACGCTGGCAAAAGCGTAGCCCAAGAGTTAGCGGCGGGTGGTGATGACTAGCTGCCTTCCCTCTTGTCTTTCACTGCTAAATTAGGGACGGCTAGCGCAGATGGCCCTCTCGCAGCTTTGCGCTAAATTCCAAATAAATCAAACCAATTCCAAATAGCTTAGCTTGAGGCCTTCCAAAATCTTTGATATCCTCGATCAGGATCCTCACCTAATGACATCTTAAATAATGGCCATGCTGTGTTCCTCACCTTCATTGACAACGTTGTATAGACATATTTACTGCACCAAATAAAATTCTCGCTGAACAAATATTCTATTGTCCGGTGTCAGAGTAGTTTTAAAGAAAATATTTCGACACCGGCTGAGGATCCCGAGATCGTCTCGCGGACTCCCATTTTGTGCTGAAGTAGGTTGTTTAAGATAAAGAAACGGACCGGTGAAAACCGAATGTAACAGCTAGGCCGATACAATAACCATAAACTAGGAAACTCGATAACCCGAACGCTTTCTAATGTAAACATTCCTTTTTCATTGGTGTATAAATTCCCTACCCACTGAAAAAGGAGTTTGTTTGAATTTCGCTCAAAGCTGCGCGAGGGCTGTATACGCTAACCGTCCTTAATTTGGCAGTGATAGATTAGAGGGAAGGCAACTAGTCATCACCACCGACTCTTGGGCTACTCTCTTACCAACGAATAGTGGGATTGACTGTCACATTATAACGCCCCCACGGCTGGAAGGGCGAGCATGTTCTGTGACGCCAGAGCCGTAGGAGGTGGTAAGGCCAGTCTGACCATGACCTGACCACTTTTTCATCGCATGTGTGGTTACAACGTACGTATTAAAACTTGCTTTTTGTGAATTCAATACATTATACAGTAGCTGTAGTTAAAAGAGCTCAAGATTCAGTCCCATAGCATTAATTTTTTTTTTCAAATGAGGCAATGGCCTGACCACTTCAAAATTGGTTTTTACGACAATGGACAGGGATTTGATTGCGAGTTGAGCGCCCCCTAACCACCAGAAAAAAAAAGGCAGATCTACCTTTGCAAAATGCTCGTTTCATCTGGTTTATTATAGATTGTGATTCATAATTATAATTATAAATAATATTTATAATTATAAATTATTTGTTACTTCCAAGCAAAATTGATGTTTGTTGTTGTTGTTGTTGTTGTTGTTTTTTGTTTTTTCGAGGAATGTCTCAAACAGAACATTCTTTTTTATCTATTGTTCGCGGGCCTAACGCGACTCAGTGGTTGGCATGCTAGACTGTGGATCTGAGGTTTCGTGGTTCATGTCCCGTTACCATAAAAGAAGAAAAAAATCGCGCCCCTAAAATTGTGGATGTGGGTGTAATATAACAGGAATGATTAAATCGTACTATTCAGTCTGGCAAGAGTTGGCGGTGGGTGATGTTGAGTAGCTACCTTCCCTCTAGGTCTACGATTTCAAAATTAGGAACGACTAGCACAGATAGCCCTCCTGTAGATTTTTGGGAAATATATTCTTAACACACCTAAGTTCTACTTTTAAAATTTATGTTAGTTTTTAATAATATTTTAAAGAGAACGTATTCTTCTAACAGAAACAAACAAAACTATACAGCTCTGTCTCTCTCTCTCTCTTAATCTGCGGACTTGCAACGCTAAAAACCGGGTTTTGATACCCGTGGTGGGAAGTGCACAGATAGCCCATTGTGCAGCTTTGTGCTTAACTGCAAATAAACAAATAAACAAACTATCTCTTAAAATAAATACGCCCTCGTTTTATTTCTGTAACTCAAAACTACACAATGAGCTATATGGGCTCTGTCCACCGCGTGGAATCAACCCCCGGATTCTAGCGATGTAAGTCCTAAATTTACTGCTGACCTATCGGGATGTGTGTGAGGGGGGGATAGCGATCAAGGGAAGTGAATAAACTGACCAGTATTCAAAAGTATGGAAAAAGACAGTTAAGTGTATGTTCTGGGTTCATCAAGTTACTCAACTGTTCTTGAATTATTGCTAATAAAATTTGGTCGAAACAAAACTTTCGCTTTCGACACGTAAAGCGTAAAACATTCTGCCGAAAAACAACAAGCTAGACGAATAACTATTAGTTTTTACACTTACTTATATTGATTATTTTCAAATAAATGTAATATAACTGTAAATATAAGGCAATGTTGTAACAGCTATGTAACTTTTTTTCTGCAGCAAAAAATACACAGTAAATTAATTTACTTATCTCTTTCTAAATATGTTATTATCGTGGACTCGTACGTTACTCCGAATTATACCTGTAAGGACACTAAACTAGATGCATGTAATTACAAACATTAAAACCAGTGATCTGTGAAACCTGTTGAGAGAATAAATTAACTTCCAACTTCACGTCATCTCTCTTATTTTCGACGTGACGGTATAAAAATATTCCGTTGTGTTCAACGCACCGTGTTTTATTTATTAAGAAAACACAATTGTTACAGTAGTATTTAATCTAAAGGAAAGAGAGCGTAACTCAACAGAGATGATTTATTCAAATTTCGGAAAAATAGGTCAGAAACAAAAGACGTCTTAAACACACAATTAAAATTAAGGTAAACACGTGAATATCGAAAAAGAAAAACGTAAACGTGGTAAGAGAGAGGTATGCGCTGAATTACTCGTTACTCTGGCTGTTAGATTTAATCTCTATTGACAAACTTCACGTGTAAAAGCGTAAGCAGCTCTAAGAAATCAACTTAAAAATTAGACGCAGATTTATAAGCTAAAGGACATAATGTTCCGCATATAAAATAACTTAACGTCTAAAGTTAGTTGTGACAAGGTTGTTGCTCCTAAAGAAACAGAAAGTAAGGTGATAAAAAAATCAAGTAAATCAGGTTAATACAAACAAACCACTGGGGGTGGGGGTTTAAGGCGGGGAGTAATAAGTAATAATTATTTCCTGAAACTGATGTTTCAGTCCTAATTATGATCCCACCTATATATGAATATCATATTTCTTGCTACCTAAGGTATAAATACTACTATTATAAGCAGGGAAGAAAATGGGTCTTAGGAACATGGTACACGCTTATAAGGAGCAGTGGGTGGTAGGTATACAAAAGCAAATAGAAAAGACAGGAGGTTCTTATTTTATATTCTAGCTTGTCAATATCGGTAATTTGATATCCTAATTCACAGGAAACAAACTTTGTATTTGGACATCACAAACATCTAATTTGAACCAATGCTGTTTTCAACATAGCGCGTAACACACAAAATCAATATATAGGTGTGTTCGTTTAATATTTACTTTTAAATTAAGAAATTTACTAATGTATAATACAAAAATCTGAATTATAATCTACAATTTGACACCAAACTTATTGACATAAATTCATAAAATAGTTAGTTCAATAAAATTTTGAGTGTAAGTCAACAAACGCGATGACACGGCCTTTGACCCGTGACGATAGGGTTAATAAGCGTCTTCAGTAGTACTAAACATGACCAATAGGGAAAATAATGCAAACTGGGAACTAGGTGCACGGCGTGTATCCCCATTTCCATCACTGATTTTAAGTAAGAAAAGACGAGTTTACTCTTCGAATTCCAATAGCGTAGTGCTACGCCCTTCCTTTAAGATGTTACACATTTCCAGTGCAAAAACTAAATCTTCACTGGATATACAACGCTCAACAATAAAATCGGTTTGACAACACGTTTAAGAGTGTATCTTCATATACGTATAGATACCTTTTTTGGAAATCTGTTAAAATGAGTATAACAACACCTTACTTCCCGCTAGCAACGTTTAACTATGTTCACAAATCTGTTGATAGTTTTTTGGGGAAAACTTGTTAAAATAGCAACACCTTACTTCCCGCAAGTAACGTTAAAGAGTGTATCTTCATATACGTATAGATACTTTTTTGGAAATGTGTTAAAATCAGTTTAGAAACACCTTACTTCCCGCTAGCGACTTTTAACTATGTTCACAAATCTGTTGACAGTTTTTTGGGGAAAACTTGTTAAAATAGCAACACCTTACTTCCCGCACGGCATGGCCAGGTAGTTAGGGGGTTCGACTCGCAATCTGAGGGTTGCGGGTTCGAATTCCCGTCACACCAAACATGCTCGCCCTTTCAGCCGTGAGGACATTATAAAGTGACGGTCAGTCCCACTATTCGCTGGTAAAAGAGTAGCCCAAGAGTTGGCGGTGGGTGGTGATGACTAGCTGCCTTCCCACTAGTCTTATACTGCTAAATTAGGGATGGCCTAGCGCAGATAGCCCTCGTGTAGCTTTGCGCGAAATTTAAAAACAAACAAACAAATACTTCCCGCAAGTAATGTTTAACTATATTCACACGTCTGTAGATAGTTTTT